TCTCTCTCTCTCTCTCTCTCTCTCTCTCTCTCTCTCTCTCTCTCTCTGGCTGTACGACGGAAGGTGCACATTGAATATCTCATAAATATATAGTTGAATAGCACGAATGAGTCGTCGTCGTCGTCGTCCTCAAAATGAATGATTGAATTTTCGATTTTGCTACGTGACACTAACTTATTCAAAAGGAAACCGATCCAATCAATGGCATACACACAGTGTAAGCAATTTGTCCCTTTTGCCCCATTCAAATGTAGATTCATCATCGAGAAAAAAGGACAAAATTGGAACGTTTTTTTTATATCTTGCCATAATAATAATCAAATATTTGACACGAGAAAGAGGGAAAAGAAGAGGGAGAGAGAATGATATCAGAGTTTGGGCGTATATACCGACTCTTTCGTAGCTAAAAATAATTTTTCTCTCGCATTCATAACGCCGTTAGCATTCATCGCCTCGAAGTAAATAAAAGTACTAAATGTCATTTTACACTTGTAAACTGGTTTGTGCGTATCTCATTTTGAATCGTTCATAATTTGAATTTCTAATTATCAATTAGCGGAAACACAACAAGAGCAGCAACATGCTCCGGTTCATCGTCTACAGTTTGCGTCGGCATTGCAAAGTCAACGAAAATTAAATAAATTTGTTGTGAATTTTTCGCCGCTTAACAGAATGATTCATTTAGCATTTTTGTCAATGTTGTCGTCGTGTGCACACCAAACAGTGAAATGTGTTTTCAGTCGTTCGTCTGTCGGAAACCCAATTAAATCACGAAAAATATGATGTTGTTTTTTCTTCTTCGAGTGTTCAAGTGCCGCTTGTTTATGCGAGATATGGAGATGCTGTTCGACTGCAGATTAACTAACATGCAAAAATTGGCATCAAGCAAAGAAAAAGACAAACAAAAAAACATTGTTAGCAGCAATGGCACGCACAAAATTAAGAGATTTTTTTTTCTCGTGCTTACTGTTGCTGCTGCTGCTGCTCGTTGTGCGATACACAGAAAATGACACAAAAAAACGAGCGACATTGGCAGCGACATACAACACAGAACGACAACCATTCGAAAAAGCGACGAAAACGACGAGTGCCGGGCCGTAATCAGAAAATCCAAGTCGAAACAGAAGCAAAAACACACTAAACAGCATCAACTGTCAAGCGTTCAAGTACGTGTAAACACTGCGCTTGGATTTTTGTGCGCGTTTTCTGTTCACATCTGTTTGGGTATGTGTGTGTGCGTGCCGGCCGATTGCTGTTTTGCACTCAATTCCAAACGAAACTCGTACACACTCACACAATGTGACGCTTTGTCGTTCATTTGCCTCTTTTGCAAACTAATAAAAATATTTGGCTAACAAAAAGAGCGCACCGAAGAGAGCACGATCGGAGTTTTAGGCAATTTCGAAATATTTATTATTTTCATTCGCTCTTCGACAAACCCCAAAAAGGGGGGATTCGAGAGATTCAAGCCATTGCACCAGCAAAAAAAACCATCTTCGAACGATGACTCTCAGCACATACACCCCACTGTCGATGTTTGCAGTTTTCATTTTCGGTTGACTTGAAATCGCATTGTATGAGTTATGGCTACCAACTTTCAAAGTGAAACATATTTTACATCTTTTGCCCATGCCGATTTTCAGTTCGGTTCCGCTTCAGCAAATATTTCCCAGCACCCCAGCAAAAAATGCCTAGGAATTCTTGCTGCCGGTTTCAACCGTTCGGTGTACGTTTTTTTCTCCATCATTTGGCGCTCGTTTTCTCGGTTCGCAATGCAAATGAGCTTAATTGAAAATTGAAATAGAGAAAAAAATGGTGTGTGCGTGTGCCGAAGAAGACAAAACATCTTTAAATAAGCCGAAAAAAGGTGAATAAGCTCCTTTTGCTATGCAAACATCGTTTGAGAAGGAGAGGTACGCGTGCAAGATTGCAAACCGCACCATTTTCACAAGGGACTCTTCAAAAGCGCTCATTTTCTCAATGCAGCTATTTGTGTTTTTGTTCGAAATGTATAATTCAAAACACATTTTTCGGGCCAAGCTGTTTTTTAGGCAGATTTCTTGTTGTTTTTTCGAACTCTTACTCTCTGTGGCCCTCTCTTTCTGCTCCTGCATTCTTGCTTGCTGTTTTATTTCGACTCAGTGTGCTTTTTCTCTCTCTTGGTTAATTTTGTTACGTTTTGCAAAATGGCACTGGTTCATGATATACACACAGTGAGAGAGAGAGAGCGGGAGAGAGACACGATACTGAGATTTTTCTCGTTTTACTGTTTTCTTAAGCATTGAATTCTTTTTCGGTTGGTTCGTGCAGCAGTCGACGTTATCGTTATGATGGTTATTTCTCGTTCTCTGTCTTTCCATTTCGATTCGGTAAGGATGGACTCGGCCTCGCAAGAATGTGCAGAATCCTTGCTTTTTCCGTTCGTCCCACTGTTACCATCGCCGCTACCAAGCCAACTGACAATGTTGAACGAGTGACAGGGCAACGCAATATCAGTGCAGTAACTTGTTTTTGTTCGTTTTAATTGCGTAATTGCGAAGACAAATATTTAATTAACTTTTTGCTTGAGCTTTATTTCTCTCTCTCTCTCTCTCTCTCTCTCTTTATATGTGTGTTGTGTCGTGTACGGGAAAAGAAATCGTAACGATGTCGTCGCTGTTGTGAAAAAAAAGGACGAACGAATTTATTTAGGAGTTTGTCGTTTCACTTACTTGTAAGCGCGGTGGCGTGCGATCGCTTCGTCGCATTTTCTGTGTTGTCTTTGTTTACATTGTTTGCCGTCGTGTTTTGAATTTCTTCTGCTGTTAACTGCTTTAAATGCTTGATCTTTGTGTTGGACGTGCCATTTATTCGATGCACTTCTCTTTTGTTTGTTTTTTTTAATTGCCTGCCTTTTTCCCAGTAAGTATTTCAACTGCTTATCGCATTGAATGCCCTTGATGTGCACAACATTCGTGATTAAATCATTCATTCCCCCATGGATTTATGCGTTCGCTATTGAAAAATTCTTTTTTATGGTTTAGCTGCGTTCATAATTAATTATTCGAAATGGATTTTTTCCTCTTTTTTGGAAAGAAAAAAAAACTCAAGTGTCGCTTAATTGAAATAACTTTTTGTGTGCATTAGCACATAAAATCACACAACAATGTTGTCGAATGTTGAAAGCTCAGCATGGTTGTAGTTGTGATGAACTTTTTTTTCGCTCTGTCTCCCTCTTTTACTCTATTTACTTGCAATTAAAAACTTTTCACGAAAAGTACATAGCCAACAAACTAATAAACACATTTTTTTCCACTTATTTATTTGCAGCATTATCGCTGGTATCGGTAACACATGGCGAGGATATGATGATGGATACACGAGAAGGAGAGAACATTTCGTTGAAATGTCGCTTCAGTGAACAGCATAATACTAATGAATTCTCCTACTATTGGGCACACATCGGTACAAAGTATGATAACGTGGCTATCGGACCAAATCCGCTCGCATCAAATTACAGGTAATAACTCGATGCTATTATTATCATTGTTAGGGTTTTATAGACCACCTCATTATTCATTGTGTTCCCGTGAGCGCGTCGCGTGTTTGTGTGGCAGATAATCCAAAATCCAATTCAGCACGATTCCAATTCTACAGACTAGAATCATTCTCTATTCATTTGCTGCCCCTTTAAAAAAAACTAATTCGAGTAAAACTACTTTTTCCGTTTTCGACATCGCCGCCGTCGCCATTATCGCCACTACACGTACACTTCTTCCGTTCGCATTTTATAATCGCATGAAATAGCGATTTCGAGTAATTGCATTTCGATTTATTAGTGAATCAGCTTGTTTTCGTCACTCAAACTCCTCAATCGACCGGTGTGAATTCTTCTCAATCGCTTTTCGCTTGTCCAAGCCATTTTTCCTACAGCAATTTAATCGCTGCCTTTCTTTTCGGTTCTTTGTTGCAGATCAGGCCCGTAGCGAGATGGGTGCAAGAGGGTGCGGAGCACCCTCTGAACATCTTCGCGCACCCTTTGAAAAGATTTCAGTGTTCCCCTAAGAAATAGCTATAGTTTCAAAGAAAAAATTGTTCAGATGAATGAATTAAAAGTATTCAAGTTTTACTTTTACTTTAGTTGACTTTATTTTACTCTTCGATCATACATTTTATTTTCGTGTGGCTTTGTTGTTATTTTCTGAATAATAATCAATATACTGAGATTTGAGTAAAATGAACGAATACAAAATTTGGCATTTGTAAGAGAAAGTGAAAGAAAAGTGTCTAGAAGAGTTGCACTTTACGTTCTTTAGCATCATTAAATTTTCGCATCACTTTATCTAACGGAATTGTTTCAAGTCTTTTTTGTTCAATAGCTAAAAATGCCAGATTTCGCATTCTTTCATTTGTCATTGACAACCGAGATGGAATGTTTATTCTAGCTAATGCTGAGAATGACGCTTCACATACTGATGTACTGCATGCGAATGTTTCAATGATAGCATATGTTTCGTACACATTTGGAAACGCATCGCGAACTTCATACAATGTTGAGAGAATGTTGAATCCGGTCTCAGTTTTGTCTTTTTCATTTTCCCAATCATTATATTTGCTTTCGACGTACTTTTTCGCAGTTTTCATTTCATGTTCAGGTGGAAGTTCTATACCGATTTGATCAAGTGGTTTTAATTTTTCTAAATTCATTTCAAATGAATTTGAGAGTGCCAACAAAATCGTATTATTCTCTGTAAAACGTGCATTGAATTCTCCCAACACGACATCAATAACTTCGTAGAAACATGATTTAATCTCATCTGCTTCATTTGAACGCTCACCAATGGTTTCTTCGACGACAAAATCAGCTAAGTTTGTTGCTCTTCTGCGTGTTCTTTTTTCTGGTTGAACAGAGCTCATTGATTCCGGAATAAGTTTGTGTGACTCTTCAACGAATTCTTCAAATTTCCCTGGGCTACGATAGTCTTCGATTGTTGATTTAACGGCATCTATGACAGGCATTGCACGGTGATTGCTCATTTCACGCTGTTGGAAAATAGCGTCTGCCGGCTCAAGTGTTGACAACAATTCATCCATAAAAAACAAAATGAAAACAAATTTCGGTTGTGTGATTACGCTACGTTTACCAATACATATCGCGATGTCGTCACCATCGAGATGAAGCGAGTTGTATTTATCGTCCTTCACTCGATTCAATGTATTGACGATTTCACCATAATTTTGACGCACAGCTTTTGTGGCTTGATAGTGACCAGTCCAACGAGTGTCGATTAGGCTCCCTGCTTTTGAAAAACTTAATCATAACAAAACAGCATATCAGTAGCCGTTTTGATTTTGCTACTGCATTCCTCCACCATAGCTCGTATATAGTAACTGATTTTGTTCGCAACTTTGCTAGAAATGAGGGGCTCAGAGGAAAAATGTTACGTAGAAAAGTTCCGCGGAAAAATATTCGGGAGCTAAATGGTATCATTTAGCACCGCTACCATTTAGCTCTGCTAAAGCTAAATGATACCATTTAGCTCCGCTAAATGATATCATTTAGCTCCCGAATATTTTTCCGCGGAACTTTTCTACGTAACATTTTTCCTCTGAGCCCCTCAAATGGTTCTTGACTAAGCTGTCAAACATATAGTAATACATTGCGCCTGTAACGCACCTAGATGGCGCCAGCAATCAAAAGTACTTCCTATATATGAGACATGTCCTCCACATTGTTTGGACTGTGTTGTAGAATAAACACACAGCAGTCATATCGAATGATTCATTTATTTTACGACTTCTCAGTAATGTTTTTGTATACATGCCAAGTCGACATTATTAATATCAGCTGAAATGGTATTTACAAAAAAAAGAAGATTTTCAACTAAACGAACGTTCAAGCGAACGTTATTTCAGTTTAGGTAAAATTTCTTATGATAAATTTGGTATATCAAGTACATACAAAATAGTGAAAATAATAAAAAATATTCAGGTGCTCAGCACCCTCGTGAATTTCAGTCTCGCTACGGGCCTGTTGCAGATACAGAGAGTCTTTGGCTCGTGAGCACAATTAAGCGGCTAAAGAATCGCTAATGAAACATTCAAAAAATTCGTATGAAAAAAAATTAATTAAAATTTTTGATATGTCGACAAGCAGATTTCCGTATCCGATTATCATTTTACCGTTAGAATCGATTCGATGAAGAAAAAAACTACACTCTCACACCAAAGGGGTGCTTTACTACGAGTATTACGTGGAATTCTCTATGAAATTCTATAAATAAAATTTATTCCATTTGCCGTAATTGAAAAACGTGTGTGCTTTTTTGCTCTCTCTCTATCTCTCTCTCTCTCTCTCTCTCTCTCTCTCTCTCTCTCTCTCTCTTCAACGACGTTGTCGTCGTTCATTCGCCCGCTGCTGATTTTAATCGAGGAAATGCAACCACTTTGCTGTAGTGGCACACACACAGTGCATGGCGCTGCTTCCATGCTGATAGTGTGTGTACATGGCCGTAATCAAACGCAATTCGAAATGTTAAATATTTAATAGAATTGAGAATCGAAAAGTCACATACACGATGAAATGCGATACCAATAACAATACAATAACAACAACAGAAGTAGCAACAACAGCCAAAAAACACTACAAAAAATTGTATTTAAATTCAACTCTTGGACAAAAACCGCTGGTACAAAGAATCGTTTTTTGCCGGTTCGCGTGCCTTAGATTCTGGACAGTGGGCAAGAGAGCAAGAGCAAAGCGAGAGAGATAATAACCAACAACAATGGAAATAACTGAATAACGAAAATTTCATTCTCCAAAATGAATTAATGTAAATCGAATCGAATCGAATCGAATCGAGAGTTTGGTTTTGGCTTTTTCAACACAACACCGCAATCTGTTCGCTCTCCGTATCTCTCTTGCCGCTTATTCACTTAATGCTTTATTCATTTGGCTTTTTCCAATTCGGTTGTTTTCCGTCTGTCTGAGCCAATTTTTGGGTGCCGGCTATGTACACACTATGGTGGGTTATTGTTATTCATTTGTCGATATCTATATATAATTCTCAGTTATTCGCTCGTTCGCCCGCTTGTGCCACTCTTGACGTGGTGTTCATGCATGGCAATTGGAAAAGCGTAATCACGCTCCAATGAAATACAAATTGTCTCGTGCACCAATAATGAGTTCTGTTTGTTTTACCTTTTTCACGTCTCTCTCACGCATAAAAAAAGGCAGTACATTCAATTCTGGGCATTGTTCACACCTTTCAAACACTATGGCACGGTCGTTGCCACATTCAATTTTCAAACATGTGATCAAATACAATGGATGGAAAAACTCAAATCACACACGCACGTATCGACGCGGTTATAATTGCCGATTTGATCTGATCGGCTCAACAATCTCTCGTCGAGTTCTCGAAACAAATTCAATTCGAGAATATGTTCTTTTTTCCTCAACTGCTACGCATTTTCCACATTGATTGAACCAATTTCATTTTGGTTGGATACAACCGAGAAAAAAAAAAGATATCTGTTGTTCAAATAAACTAAATGGGAAAATCAATGTTTTACGCGTCAGAATACCAGATAAAAAAAATAATATTACCTCCGCCATTTGGTTGTTTCCATACTCAAAACGATGTCGGTTTCCCAACTCAGATAGAAGTCAGATTGAATCAAGGTTAAATAGACACGTTCGCATCGTTCTCTAGAGAACATGCATGTTCGCATTTAATTAAGTATCGGCGTCCAATCGAAAATTACGGTAATGAGAAAAGTGAGACGCGAAAAAGAGATGCCAACGAAACGGTATCACAATTTAACATGCTGCTGGTGTACTCCGCCTGGGTCACATTCAGAGAGAGATACACACACAAAAAGAACGAGAATGAAAGAAAAAAAATGCGAACGAGAGAGCTTCATTTTGTCATTGAACCAAAACAAAAAGCGTGACTGAGCATACACATACACAGCGCGTCAACGTTCGAGGCTTAAGCCCAGTGGAAGTGGTGTTGAAATAAAATTTCTCACAAGTGTCAGCACTGTTTTTGCATTGGCATTCAGTCTCTCTGCTCACTCTCTCACTTTTTCTCTCGTACACACGCCGAGCGTTCCATTTTCACATATTTGTGCATTGACTGTCGTGCGCCCTTGATTATATCAACTATGGCTTTGGTTTGAAGCAACAAAAAAAGGCAGAGAGAATTCGAATCAGCATCCATCCAAAGTAGGTACGCGAAAAATGTTCCGCCACCGAATTGAAAGTTTGTGCAAAGGATATTTCCACATGAAAATTTGAAATTTTAATTTTTCGGTAATGAAATTATAGCAGCAGACAAACGCTGTGCCACTGAGCGTAGGCAAGTGGCAGCTTCATGTGGAAATGGAAAAAAACGGCAAAACTGTTCTCTGCTTTGACACAGTTTGCTGCAGAGAACGGTGGCTGTGTAGAGGGAAAAAATCTCAAACTGTGAAAATGAAATGGAAGAAAGCGAAACATATTGTACGATAGATTAA